TTCTTCTATTTCTTTCAAGGAACTTAATAGATTTTTAAAACGCTTACCACTTAGAAACAATTTCCCTTTAAATTCTCCTTTCGGAATTAATAATGTAAGGACGCATTTTTATGAAGTGTTAAGTGGAAAGTTCAGGATTCAGGGTGCTGGTAAGAAATACTCATTTCCCCTGAGACAGTACCATTACTTTGTAAGTTTGAACAAAGGGAATAAGCTTTCACAACATTTATATAGGAAGTTAAAGAAAAAAAAACTTCATATATTTTGGGAACTTACCTAATCAGGATACTTTTAGCATGTGTCTAGTCATGTAGCCATCTTTGGTCAATCATCAAAAAATCAAAGACAAATTGGCATGACTCAACCCTAACTTTAATACCGCATGATTGTGTCGTGTAAGCTTGTTTTGTGTGAGAGCCGCTGTGGTTTTAGCAGAGAGATTAACAACCGGACCTAAGCTGGCCTCCAAACCTTGCCCTGCTGATGCCTCAAGCTCTTTGAAGTCTGACCATCATACCTGGCAAAACAACAGTGGGAACTAGGATGGTGTCAGATCTAATCAAATTGTTCGCTGCAGCATAGCTAACTATGGGGTTCACTAATTGGCCCAATTGCGGATTATACCTTTTGCTACAGATTCAAGACAATAATTTAGTTAAATAATGTTTTTTTTCTCCCTTATCTCTTCTAATTAAGATTCCAAAGTGGGAAGAAATAGGATTAGACAAGTCTCAAAACTGGGTTCCCCTTAAGGTGGTATTCAATTTTGATAGGCTAGCTACGACGTGTGAAATATATCGAGCATAGTATTAAACCAACTTCTGGAGATTCTGTGAAACCTATGTGACATTACTGTATGTCTATGTCACTTGGGAATTAAAGTACAAATATGGGAATGGTAATATAATGAATAGGTTAAATGTAAACACCTAGAAAATGGCATTTCCATTGTTAAAGAATATTAATTTGGATCTATTTTTGACAAATGATTTCATCCAGAGATATCTATGTTCTACTGATTTTCTCTTGTTAACTGTAGTATATCTGGGAATTGAAATATCAACCAATATTTGTGATTTACTGAATTATCAATATTCATTTAGTATACAAGACCCACATAGATACAATGTTTATGATAATTACTATTTTTGGACCAATTTAAGCTTACATAAGTATTATTTATCCTTATATTGAAAATTTGCAGAGAACAGTGTACATCTTTTGTATATATCAGCTTAACTCAGTAACCATACTTCTGACTTGAACTTAAAAACACTGAAATCTTAGATCTGGAAAACTGTCGCACTACCCAAGCGTTGATAGAGGTTGTAACCAATGTAATAATACATTATTATCATTTATATTAGAAAATCAATTACTAGAATATATTAAGATATGATCAACATGAACAATACAACATCAAAATAGTAAAACACCACTTAATCCAAGTAAAATGCTGCTCCTATCATGTCATCAAATTAATGCTGCTGCATTTCAAATTTTATGAAATTTTACTTGTTTACTGTAATTATATTATAATCACTAATATAAAGAAAAAAACTGGTTAATGATAAACCCCAAAATTAGAGAAACAAAAATTACACAAGTTGAAAAATACAAGTGTAAGTAGTTATTTCAGCTTGGAAGCTGTGTGCCCAAGTTATGCATCTTACAGAACATTACAGAGAATGAGGAGGCAGTGTTTATAGCTCACTTGGCCAGTTGGAGTTTATGTAATACCTAAAGCTGTATTATTTGAAATATTTTTAAACTCCATAATTTATATTACATGTATTTCAGCAAATATTTTATACCTACTAAGTATATAACTCTGATCTTAATTTTGGCATACCATGTACTGTTTATAAGAATTACCAATTTTTGGAGAATTGGAAACTACTTCTTTTAACTTCTTTTATTGAGCCAACTTTAAACTTTCTCTTTTGCTTATCCAGAATGTATGCCAGGATTTCAGTGTCTTTACTAGATAGGATTCTGCTACAATTTTTTTAGAGGGTTTAATTTATAGGAATTCATGATGAATGTTAGGTATTAGTAAAAGTTTACTATGATCACATAATTGCTTTCACCTGAATCTGGACAATACCAATACACATTCCAAGAAGGAAAAAATACTCTGTTGCTATCTCCAAATCACTCAAAGAAACTGCAGACTACTAGTTAAAGTTGCTCTACTTGTTAAGGCCATTGATGGCATTAGTAAAAAAATATTCCGTTTTTTAATACATAAAAGGGCAGTGATGTAATAAATAAAAGAAAAAGTACCCTAAAAATACAGATGAGAGTGTCTGCCTGTTTCTTTGCACCCTTACTTCTGGCATGCTGACTTTTTAGACCTTGTGATTATCAGTAAATTCCAACATGTAACAAATCTACCTGTATGGAATAAAAAACGTTATTTCTGCTTTACTTGATAAACTACCTTTCCCTTCTAAGAGTAAGATGCAGATTCAATGCCTGGTATATTATTACCTCAGATTTTATAGACTAGTGGAGTGTACATTTTATTTTTTAAAAATACCAGGGCAATTTCTTAAAAAAACTTTTATTTGTTGTATATATTAAAACATTGCCATCTGGTAGGTATTTTTCCCCTCCAATAAAAAAAGTCCTCTTGTTTCAACAGTGTCTAGAATATATCACCAAAGAATTGCTATCTAATTGGGTGTGCATTTTATAATGTACAATGTTATATTTAAGCATTTAATTTTACACCAATCACATGATTGTATACAACTATAACTATACCTATTTGTACTTTTAATAGGTTTGTTTAATTCTTCATATTTTTCTAACCACCAAAGTGAATTTCATGGCCTAAGTAACTTATGTAGAATAAGTTTATGTACATAAATATATATGTACAATTATATATATACTTACACACACACAAACACTTATTAATTAGGTTATAAGCAAAAAAAAAATTAAGGATGTGATTTACTGTATTAAATATTAATAAAAAAACACCCCAACATAGTTTTGTTTTCAAATATTGCTTCTAAACTACAGGGTCACCAATTATAATGGTTCTTTTAGTTTTAGACTAGTAAGAAGAGAAGAAAGGAAATGGAACAGAAAGAAACCCATGTGGTTAATAAATGACCTTTCATCAGCTTCAATGGTAAAATGTAGTCACTATTAGAACCTAAAGTTATTTAGAGGAGAGGTCTCACTTGACATTATGTAAGTATTTTATGTCTACCCTCTCACCGCCAAAATAATACAGTGTGTGTCTGTGTGCGTGTGTGTGCGTGAGAAAGAGAGAAAGAGAGAGAGAGAGAGAGAGAGAGAGAGAGAGAGAGAAAGAGAGAGCGAATGAACATCACTCGACTACTGTGCTACTTTTTCTCTATGTGTAATTTTTTTTTATCATCAAGGAATCTCCTTCCTTAATTTTTATGGTGATAGACATGATACCTTAGACCTGGTTGTCAGAATACTCATCTGAAGAGAAAGGTGTCACATGGGAAAAACACACACATGTCTTTTGTTGAAAATATAAATTCATCTTAAAAGAAAATGGTACGGCATGCTCTCTTTGTGACATCAACAACTACAACTTCACATTTATATTTATAACTACTAGTATATATATTACGGTAAATTTCTCAATATTCTATCAGAAAAACTAAAACAATGCTTGAACAATTACAGTGTTGGATTCCCTTTCAATGGTTTTTTTTTTTTTTTTTGGAGAACTAAAGCAAATTAGCTCAAGAATCAGCATTTCTGCACTCCAGTTCTTTTGGCTTTATGTGGCTTTTAAAGGAGTATCCCCAGATGAGAAACTTCTAACGCTCCTGCAGAGATGACCTGCTTGAAGAACGGGCTGCCTGATTAACTATTAACTGCTCTCAATAGGATTAGATAATTAAGGACATTGATGACCATTAATTAGGAGGAGGGCACATTAATTTGTCACTGGATAGGGCCCTTACAATGATTTATAGGTTAGTGCTACTTGCAAATGTGAGGGGAAAGAGAAAAAGAGAGAGAACCATTAAGTTACCTTATCAAGTGGCCAGCTAAAGAGGGCAGAGGGTCAAAAAAGGGCCAAAGTGGTCACTTCAGGGTGAAGTCCCAAACACCAAAGCAGTGCCAAGCCACATTGACCATCATTTGGTGATGAAGTTAAAAATATGCTAATTTATTGGTGGCAATTCTCTCTTTTTATGGTTTCAAGCAGTTAAGACAAGTGGCCTGCTTAAGAGCTTTTCATTTGAAAAGAGATTAAACAAAATGGTTTGTCAAGGCTGCTTGGCTGTTTTATGTCTTTGTTAAAAAAATGGCACCGACTATACTGATAACTATCACATCACCCAAAAGCCATCTCTCTCTGAGCATTTATTTCGTTAATAAATACATCAACCCTAATTGCTTAATAGTGCTATGTTCATTTGCTCTTTAGCAAGATTAAGTTGAAATAAATCTTTTGTACTACCACTTTCTGTCACTATTACTTGCAGAGAGGTCCCACAAAAGTTTCAGTTTTGTGGAAAATTTACTTAAAGATAGCGGTGTAAATTAGAGTGAGTACTCTGTTTTATTCAGCACAGAAAGCAGAAAGATGACTCCACTACTAATAAAAAATCAGCTTTTAGAAGGTAGATAGGATCCTCTTTTCTTAACCAGGTACAACTGTGGGTAGCACTCACATTCCACATACAAATAAGCACAGCTCATTAACATTTAATTAAATATGCCTTTGAAAGCCTTGAAAATATGCATGTCATATTCATGTAAATTTGGAGCTTACTTTAAATGTATATTTAAAACAAAATCATTTTTGCTATACTCTAATAATAAGCCATTAAAATAAAAAAATAAGATAGTCTAAAAAATTATTTTATTGTACCAAAAGAATTTAAAAATACTTAGCATAGAAAAAAAATTTAACATGAACCATCTAAGAATTTCATTGAATATATATATGATTTACCTCAAAATTGTAAGCTGAAATATAAAAATTCTCTTACCTCAATGATGAATAGCTTTCTTTTCAATTTAAAAGCTAAGTCTTTGACATCTGACACATCACACATCAAGTTATTAAGCCGAGGAATCTGACGTATGTGAATCAAACCTTGTGGAAAGGAAAAAAGGAGAAAAATTAAAATGCAGTCATTGGATGCATAAATGAGAGTGGTACAGCAGAATCCTGTAAATTTACACACAGGCATCCTTCCCTTTTAAAACTGGAGCTTACTACCAGGAGCAATGAAGCAAATGGTGTGATTATACTCAAGTAATCAAGCAGAATAAGATAAACAGAAATCCTTGTGCAAGGAAAACTAATTGCACTTTGGTACAGAAGTACAGATGCAAAGAGGGATCTTACTACTTGTCAAAACTACAGCCGGTTTGTGTGTGATTTTCTCTTGTATTTACAGTAAGCAAATATGGCTATCACCTTGCATGCTGCCCACGGCACCACTGGGTGATCTTTATTTTATTAAATGCACCAGTAAGCAGCCAGCAAAACAAGGCTTATGGGTTACCCATAACCAGGGAAACACTCATGAAATGCATTCCATTTTGTACCTTATTAATGACTGCTACAAACCATTGAAGAAAACGACATTTTAGAGCACATTCTAGGATCAAACATTAACCCCTAAGCCATCCCAAGACACTCATTTCTGGGCATGCTAGACCTTCCAGGAGCTGCTATAAGCTTTGTACCAGTGTTAGGTAAACCGTGAGCTTTGGCCTCTTGTCAGTAGAAACACTCACTAATTTTTTCTGACAAGGGCACTGGATGGCTTTTGTGCAGCTTAATACAGTTCCTGACTAACCTAGGGGTCGTTTGCCACAGATGAAGATGTGGAAGATTCTTCAGTGCGTATCTCTGCCTGACTCAGCCCATATTTAGAAATTACTATCCCAAAGACATTGATCCCTAAACATGGGGCAAGAAGGCAAGTCCAGATTTGAACTAAGTAGATAAATCTTATTTATAGAACTGCTTCTCTAGTATAGAATTTTGTGTGTGTTTGAATGTTTAGTAAGGTATGTATTAGTTTTAGCTTAAAACGGTAAATCTCTAGGTGTTTAACTTTAGAAACGTCCCTTTCAAATATAATTCACTAAAATATCCAATTTATTTTTTGTTAATTTAAAAGGTATTATTAAAAATACAGTTTAGGTACAAATTAAAAATATCTCATGCAGAATTATTTAGTAAAATATGTTAGAAATAAGCACACCATACTTTGATTTGCACATTTTTCATTTTAAACTTGCATGTGCTTGTTTAGTTAACTATTAAATCAGGAAGCCTTACAGAATGAAGGAATGATTCCTGAGGCCCTTCTTATTAATAGAAACTTTACTGGTCATCAGAATTACCCATTAATTTGTGAGGAATCATTTATCAATTCAGAAATTTCAGCACAAAAAGTCATAGTCTTTCAACCCCTGAAATGTTTTAATTAAATTGTTGTTTTTTTTTTAGAATATAAAATATAATTTTACTAAGTTTACTCTTCAACTTGGGTTGTTTTAAAAGAAAATAGAAATATAATAAATTAAAAAAATAGTATGTCCAATTATACAATAAGTAATACCTGGGGATATGATGTACCGCATGGTGACTATGGTTGACAATACTGTATTGTTTATTTGAAAGTTGCTAAGAGGGTAGATCTTAAAAGTTCTCATCACAAGAAAAAAAAATGGAACTATGTGTGGTGATGAATGTTAACTAAACTTATTGTGGTACTTATTTCTCAATATATACATATATAAAATCATCATGTTGTATATCTAAAGCTAATAAAATGTTACATATCAATTATAGCTCAATAAAAAAGAGTTTAATCTTAATAGCTCTCTTCCTATCATAATGACAATACTGTATTACATGAATTCTACATAAGGTCTGGGCATATATCAGACACATACTTAAGTAAATGATCATGAGGCAAATTATTTTATGTAGTTTTTGTTCACAGTTTGTATTTTATAGGCTTAAAAAAAAGAAACACCTGATCGTGTTATTTTATTTTTTAAAGGTTGTATACTGACTCTTCAAAGTAGTGGCAATCATCATGTAACCTTTTATTTGTAGACTGGGCTTGCCATAGTCCTGCAATCACAACCTTGCACAATCTTGCAGCAAACTTCAAATAAGCTATTCAGGCATCAGACTAGAGGTTTCCATGTAAGTATAGCAGTTCCACAACAGTAACAGCAATAATTAACATTTATTCAGATAAGTAAGTAGGTAAAAATCTATTATTCATCACACTCCATATTCAGTTTAGAGCTAAGATATGCATAATTACTAAACCTTTCCTATTGCAAAAGTTCTATGTAAGAACCTTTAACAAAAATCCCTAAATCAACCAAATGACTAAAATATTATTAAAAGCTTAAAAACACGTTAAGTTAAAAAGTCTAATTAATTGACCTGTGCATATACTAGGATGGTGATATTTTAAAATTTGTTCATAACTCAAACTAACAACAAAATGAGTAGACAGAGAACAGTCCAAATATACTCACAGATGCCTACTTTCTGAAAATGTGACTGACTAGGGCTTTTAAAACATAGTGCAGCACAAATTTTATTATTTATTTATTATACTAGAGGCCCGGTGCACAAAAATTTGTGCACTCGGGGGGGGGGGGGGCCCCCCCCCCGGCCCTGGCC